CCTGCATATGAAAGTAAAGGCATCGTGCCAAGCAAATATGCGCATTAGATGACTAACAGCTCCCACACTGTCAGTGTAGGCAGGGAATATGCAATGCAGCCACATATGTGTCTCAGAACCATACTGAGTGCTTTTTATTCTTAATGTTTGGTTTTGTTTTTAAATAGGAGTTCAGATCTTTGAGCAGGATGTTTATCTCTATGCACAGAAAACAATATTGGTCATAGTTTTTAATATACAATCAAGTTTTTAAAACTACCAGCTGATATATCTATTGTGAGTGACATCAGAATTTCAAGCAATTGCTATAAATGTTCACTAAGATAGCTGTGCATATAATGTGTAATTATCTGAGTTTACTTTTTTTTAATGGCTGGAAAACAGTTTTTTAGAAGAGTGAAAATTTTTTTCCAGTGGAAGTGCTGTTGGAAAGTTTTGTATTCAACTGTCCTGGTTGAGATGTGATCTCACTTTCTTCGATAAAATTGGTGTGAGGTACTCACAAAAATTAGTATACTGTAACAAATGAGTTGAATTTCATTTGGTACTTGCTTAGCTATAGTTTTAAAATGTACATGTAGATACTATTGAGCTGAACACAGGGATGTCCTGTAAATCCCCGTAAGCAGAGTGCAGTTTACCTTAGCATTTAATCTAACAGTGAGCTTCCACTGAAGAGCATCTCCTTTTCGTTCCTCCAGTGATGTCTAATCCACCCCCCAAATTAATTAGTTTTCTGTCAGTTCTTAAGCTGAAGCAGCAGCCTTTTTGCTGCATAGATAGGGGAGACAGAGGGATATGATGCAGTAGAGGAAAGTGAACAGGATGAAACAAACCCCTCTCTTTCTGCTGAAGTGTAAGGTTAGATCATCTTAAACTCAGTATGAGGCGAACCTTAAGTGTTGATGGTTTGGACAGTGGACTCATTTAAATTCTCCAAGAAATATTAAGGACCTACTGAGCTAAGAACTCTATATATGCAGAATTTAGACAGTGTCTTGATCTGAATCTTAAGAAAATGGAGAAACAGTAAACCAAAAACAGACTCTCAAACTGCTACATTACAGTTCTGTGGCCTGACAACCAGATGATCAAGAATTCGATGAACAGACCTCTGTTGTTCCCAGAACTAAAAATTCTCCAAGTTCATCATGCTTTTCATTAACATCTCACAAACATACAATATTACAGAAAGCAGAGTCTCAGAATGCAGATAGAGAAAGACCAAAGTCCTCAGATGTTTTCCAGGACACTCTCTCATTGACAGTGGCAGAATCCATCAGCATCCATTTAGCACTGAGTAAGTCTGATGACAAGCTAATTTTTATGAGTTCAAGAAGTAACAAAGCCGTATTTCCCTTACAGAGCTATTTAACACCCTGTGTAATGTGAATTAGTCTCTATTTACTCTATTTTAAGCACCTGTTTCTTCTTTCTTGATCTCTCTGTAAGTTGGCATCTAGATCTCTCATCCTGGTTACAATATTTTTGCCAGTAAAAATTGCTATTTTGTGGACTAGCAGTTAGAAGGGGTTGTGTGGAATGACTGGGGTGACAGTCCACAGATAGTCTGCATTACATAAACTGTGCTTTCCACTAAGGTGGTTAATTAAACTTGGTCTTCAGATCCCAAGACAGAAACTACTAATGTGCGCATTTTATTTTAATAACATGTTTCTGCTCCTCTGCCCCAGGAGACTTGGCCCAGTCTTCCAGCTTGTCTGTTCCCAAGAGAGAGAAAAGGGAATGTAAGGACTAAAGGAGAGTGTGTGGCTCCATGTAGTCTCTTTTCAAGCAAATAGTCTTGTCTGACTGGGGGTTGTAGATGGAGTGAGGGAACATCTTATGACATCACTACAGATTGCCTGAATGTGTTATGTTCTTTGGGAGAGATTCTGTGACCTTCCCAGAACAGGGAAAAAGTGGACAGTAGCAATAAACTATTTAATGGTTTTGTGTTCCACCCTCTGGATTTGCATTACTCTTCTGTGATGATGCTCCTGTACATTAACCCACTGTGCCACTCTTGTCAGTGCCGAGTATATATCCAGATGACTGTGTGTACAGTTTTTTGCCTGGATCTGGGAAGATCATGTCATTGTTTTCAGCAAAAATTAGCTCAGTAGCTTAAAAACACGGGATTTTCCTCATTCAAAGCACAAGGTAAAGTTCCTGTTGCTTCCATGAAATAGTCTGAATGTGCTTCGGAGTACTTTCTACTAGAAGTTTTGTAATTGCTTTTCAGTCCTCTGTGGCACATCCTCTAGAGTCTTCACACAGTGCAAAATTAGGTGCTGAAATCTTCCCTTAACTTGAAGCCTGATTTTGCTGGCACTTATGCACATGAGTAAGTGCTCCTGTAACTAGTTTTAGCTGCTCATGTCAGAATAACAAAGGGCACACAGGAGTTTTAAAAGGAAGGTCGTGCCAGTTGTATTGCCTTTACTGTTTAAGGTGAGTAAAACTACTTGGCCTTCACAGTTTTCCTTGTAGTCATGGGCAGATGGAAGTATGACTTTGACATCACTGTAAAGTAGGTGTAAAATGCTGCCAAATCTGAATATTGTTTTCACATCAGTTTTACATTGATAATAACTGCAAGGCATAGGTTAATTGAGAATAAACCTTTATGCATTTTCAGAGGCAGGAGTTATTTCTAACTGTCCTTGCTTTAGTGGTATTTTCTTTTGATCATTCACATGGTGTTGGAGAGACAGAAATTGAGTCATGGTAGGCAATAGATGGGCTTATTTCCTTCAACAGTGTAAAACCACACTTCTCCCTAAGTTATATGATGGGGAAAGAGGAAGTAGAAGAGAAATGTTTGACTTTGGAGTCAGTGTAGAGAAAAGAATTCTCTAGCAAGGCACCTATACTGAATGCAGACTACAACAGTAGCATATATCTTACAAAGAGATAACTCTCTAGAAGAGTACAGAGCTCCAACAGTTGATCATATTCATTTGGCCTCTCTGGAAATGACGTGATACCAAGTTCTTTGCACACTGGGTTTAAAGAAAACAGTTTTATACTAGCATTTGTATGTTGTGGTGAACCACAGGCACTACGGAAGGTCAAAGAACAGCATTTGGGGCTATTGTAATTGCAAACAGCTTTATGTTAAAAACTGAGAGTGTGGTCAAGTTACCTTGTGTTAGCTGAACCACAGCACCTGTGTGTACACATTCTTAATCTGCTTTTGTGAAAGCACTAAGCACTTCTGGCTTGTATTTTAACTATCTTGTCTTCTATTCACATTGGACTTGAGAGTATGCAGAGTTAATTACATTTCCACTTAACAGAAGTAATAACGTTTTATGCTGGGGCAACCTGTTCAGATATCAGAGCCCTTCGTGTCACAAAATGGTGGCATAAGGAGAGCTGTATAAGGAGGTGTAGCATCCTTTATTAGATCACTTGATGTAGTTTCGGGATACAATTTGGCCTTCAGTAGTGAGCCAAGAGGCATCAATTCCTTTTATCCAGTGGCAGTCCCTTATGAACTCCAGTTACTTCTTGGTTCCACACCTCATGGCCATTCTGCTGGAGTGAAGTGAGTGCGCTGCAAAGCCTGTTTCTCGGGAGCTGTTGCACAGAACTGGTGATTATGTCATCAACAAGTTTGAAGAGCAGTGGGGGTGCTGATGGTATACTCAGAACTATCCACACCATCTTTTTATGGTGCTTGTTAGTTGTTTTTAATGGCACTTGCTCTGTAAAAGAAGGGTGACTCCCTTTGGGTCTTTCCTGCAAGACATCTTTTCTGGTTTTGAGCTTTGACTGAAGAAGTCACATCAGAAAACAAACTTAATAAAAACATCTAGCTGAAAATAATTGGTTGTCATATTTTCCTGTGGAGGAGGGAGAGGTGTTTCTAAGTGACTATAAAAGTATAAATACCATCTGTGTGCTTTATGCTTATTTTTTCTGGTTTTAAGAATAACTTCTGGATTACATTTTGACACACATTGTGTACACAGACAGTAATTCTTATTCTTGGACCTACATAGTTCCTCCATACTATGTTTGTATTGCAAGTGAAAGAGACAGCATGGATCCAGGCCTTTACAGCCAGTTTCATCCTTTTACTTAGTAATCCCTTGTCCTGGTTACCAGAGGATGGCTTAGTGCTAAGATGGGCTATATAGGATGAGGTGCTTTTTTTCAAAGAGTTGTATCAGATCTGTGGACTTCAGATGAGACTGTGAATGAACTTGCCTGATGTTTGCAGTGTGAGGTCTTTTAGAAGTAGATGACAAATCACATAAGCCTTGAAGGCAGAGCACTTCATAATCTGGACAAAAAAATGCATCTCTGGCCCCTCCCTGAGCTGAATGAGTGAAGAAGGAAAAGGTCCTTGCAGTTTGCTAGAGGTCAGTTTCTCTCTACATGCCTGCATGACCTCTTTACCCATGTCTTTGCCATGCTTTGAGTGGCGTGTTGGACACACGGTCTCTGAGGCTGTGATGGACTGTTTCCAAATTATGTATTCAGTTAGCCCCGCTGCTTAGTGAGTATGACACATTCAACAGTCCTTCACAAATAAGCAGTAAGGTGTTTTTCTTGTACTCACAAACCTTTAAGCCCTCTCTGAGATTTTAGTGAAATGGGGTGTTATGATTTCAGGTGAAGGCTTTTTCCATATGGTGCAGGCGGCTCCTAAGAGAGCTTATCTTATGGATTGCTTCGTTTTCCTTAAACACTAAAAGATTTTATGGCACATACCCTTTGGATACCTGGAAGGTTTCAGGCAGATTCCAGTTGCTGTAAGCAGGGAATAAGCAAAAGCAATGGTATCAGTAACAATATAGGAATACATTTCATCTCCCTTCTGTATTTGACCTCACCCCACATCTCAGTGGCTTGACATTTTCTTTATGGATGAACATCACATCATGGTCTTTTAGAATTTATTGTCATGACAAATTGTGTGTAAAAGCCCTGAATGGTTCTTAGACATCTGATAGTGTTAAAGCTTCAATTTTTCACTTATTCTTCAGGATTCTAGTGCATGAAGGACGTAAATGATAATCCCAGAGGACCATCTGTCCTGGAGCAGACATTGGAACCAAGCTACTATGTGACTGAAAGAACTGAGTGCAAGTCAGATGGTAAGTAAGACAAGGAAGATGAGATAATCATATTATACCTTCAGTACAGATGAAAAATACATCCATACACTGTTTCAGAACTTGTCCTAATTTTCTTGGAGAAAGAAAGGAACAAGGGAAAAAAAAAAGGAAAGGAAAATTCATTGCAAGTTTTAAGTGTTTTTCAATGCCCAGTTAGTGTGAAACATCGCTTTTGCTAGATCTTTTCATAGTGGAGCATATATTCTAGTTTAACTGTGGTTCTCATGTCATTCAAGGGTCCATTTTACCTCCATTGCCTACTTGATGTGTAGGAAATTCTTTCTAGCTCAGATTTCTAAGAAAACCTAGAGGATTGAGCCTTTGTCTCCTAAAAGGTCTTTAGAAAGTCCTTTTAAATGCAGTCCATAGCTGTCTCAAACACTTTTAAAAAATTTATTTATTTGTGGTAAGCAGTAAGTAAATTAGTTTTCTTTAGTCATCAAGGAAGTGGGTGTTTCCAATTCTGGAGTTTTTTCTAAATATACTGTCTCTTACAGGAAAGTGTTTCCTGTCTGCACAGTGAGGGCTCTTGGAGCAACTGGGCTTTGTACTTTGAATCATGTATCCAGTGTATATAAACCTTTTTTCTTTTTATTGGTTAGTGGATTTATTTACTGGTTACAGTTAATGCTGCCCTGGACCAGCCTTTCATACCATCTTGCAGACTGTTGCAGTTTGTGGTTGTTTTTATGGTAGAGAAGCCTGTTCAGCTGGATGTGAGTGGGCCTTTGGTGTCAACTCCACACTGTGAGGGAGGCCTAGTTTATGAAAAAAGGATGCTGAAAACCTTTATTAGGGCGCATTTGGAGGGCGGAAAATGTTCTGTATGCAAATAAGCTGTAAGGTGAATGGGTTTATTCCACATACTGTATGCTTTACTTCTTAAAAACCCTTTATGAACTGTGATCTTTTATTATTTATGTAAGAATCCTGAAACCTATAGATATTTCTCCTGGAAATTTATATTCTCTTTACAAATTTAGATATAAGCAGTCAGCTTTGGCCAAACTAATAGTCAATGTTTGCTGTTCATTTGATGGCAGGAAGGATGCACTTTGTTTTCTATAAGCTAAGAGAGTCATGTTAGTAATTTACACTTTTTGGTGTTTTTTACACCTTATCCAGACCCCTTGAGGCCACTGTTAAACCTAGACCATAAAACATCAGTGTTATTTAAGTTTTTCTTGAGGTGGTGTGTAAGTGTGCCAAATGATTGGAAGATTCATTGTGGTAGAACATGTACAAATATACAGTAAATGACAACCACACACTTTTTGCCTCACAGCACTTATCCTTGATAGTTTGACAGAAGTAAAACCACAATGTTTTATGTTACCTGACCCTTGTAGTCATAGACTATATTGATTTCAAAGCAAGATGTAAACACAGTTCTGCTGGTTATACAAAATAATGAATTCAGAAATCACTTTGCAGAGTTTATCAAATTTATCCCTGCACTGAAATTCGTAGTAAAATTAAGTTAAAAGTGTGGAGTTAAACCATGAGTGAATTTGTTCCATCCATTTACATAGAAACCACACACAGGTCCTATTTTGGAACTGGATAGTTAGGAAAAAGTAATTTATGTGCTATAAATCCAGTATATGATCCTTATGGATAATGAGGATATTCAGAGGTCTTTCATGTTTCACTCCCTATGAACCATGTGTTCATGCACAGACCCTGAAGGTTGTTCATGGAAAGGATGTTTAATCCAGCAGTGATACTGGCTTAGTCTTTATATGTGGGCAATACAAAGGGAAGTTTTTCAAACAGTTTTGTTTTTATTGCAGAAGAAGGCGTGGGTAGTTCTGCCTTGCAGAATAGCTTAGCCTGGAACAACCCTTATGTGGGAGGGCAGAAAGAAAAGATCGACGATCATTTATCATGTGACACTGAAGTGGAATAGTTCCAACAAAAAGACTTTTGCTGAAACTTTCCAGCTGAATGTGAACTGAAGGTCATGCACTTGCCTTCTTGTTAACATGATAGCACCAGCATGGAAGCACTGGTAACGTGCTGTGTGTGTAGGCTGCCCCTGGCAAGTGCGCTTGTTGAAAACGTACCCTGTAAAGGCCTCAGTCTGAGGTGGCTGAACAGGCTGGTTTTGGCAAAGATGCTTAGAAAGTATCACTGACACTAATTTGAGGGAACGCTCAGGTGTATAAAATGCAAATCTATGTCTTTAGAGCTGATGGAAGATGCTCTAATAAATGTTTGAAGTAAAAGTCGTTGTCCAGGCATTGTCACAGGACTGTAGACTGCTCCTTGTTTCAAATCTAAGAAAATGGTATCAGTCACTTGAGCTGTCACAAACACACTAATAAACTTGGCTATTGTATAAAATGTTATATATAATGTGGCCAAAGGTTTTTTTGTAGTTCCTAAGTTGAGTAATCAATAAAAATCATACAAAGAAAATCTTGTTGTTTTCATGGCAGGGCATGGGAGCTAATGAGAAGCTTCTAAGGCACGGCTTGATTAGGGTAGGTTGGAGGGCAACTTCAAATTCTGAAAGATACCTTGAAAAATTGTTAAGATGTGTTTATACCAGCCAACAAATAGGGGTAGTGAAACCATAAAATGATTTACTAGATTGGAAAACAGTCATTTTAAGTAACTGAAAGGCTATTTATTTCACAGAACTGCCTCATGTTCACATGCTCAAATCCAACACAGTGTATGAAGCAAAAAGTATGCAGAGTGAAATTAAAACTAGATGCTGTTCCTGAGGATTGAAAAGTTTTGCTGTAGCTGCACAACATAGTAATGAGCTGCTCTTGTGCGGGTGGAAAACAGGATACAGATAAAAGAGGTCACATGAGTCTGTGGGGATGAGCAAAATTAACATGCTATTTTTGAAGGAGTGTGCACTCGGGTTGGCATTTTGAAACGAAATTCTTTCAGTTAAAGCTTTATTAAAGCAAGTTTATTCTGCAGTGTGTACACAAAACACTAAAGAAAATAAAACTGGTGGAAATCTGTTTGTCTCTTAGCAGCATTTAAGAATCAGAGAGATGAAGAGGACGTGGCAGTTTGCAGCACCAAGGTACACTGTATCTACAGTGTACAACTGTACATTCACAGGGACCCTGATTTCAAAAGAGTTAAATTAAAAATCAGTCTATTCTTTTTTACAAGTATCTATTTGCTGAATTATCATGTGCCACTTTTAGTTCTATGGTCCTTATTGATTTAGTACAGTTTTAGTACAGTTTTTTTCAGTATTGTCATAGCTTAATGAAGTGCTGGACAAGTTCTTAGGTAGTTTTTTGTTGGTTTTGGGTTTTTTTTGTTATTTCTTCTTGCACTTGATCCTTTCTCAGGCTGGACAGGTGGCAAATGACTTGACTTGATGCTGCATAAAATGGTTATCTTGCTTCACATTAAATAGGAGGTATAACTTTGGTAAACATGCATTTGTAATTTAAGGACTTGAACCTGTTGATGCTGTCCCCTGCTGTATGTTTATTCCTCTGCCAGCTCCATTAGTCCAGCACAGCAGTCACAATATCAAGGATATCTTATCGTTGAATAGCAAAGATAAGACTCTGTTATTCAGATTGGGATTTTATGAGGCATTTAAGAGAACTGATTATTTGCTTTCTGCTGAAGTTCCAGTGAAAGTTGAAATTTTTGGTCACCTTTCAGGCATCCTGCATGAAAAGACAACAGAATCCATTTGCTGATACGTCCTGGATCTCTGTGTCGCTAAGTACCTTTCTAGGTCACCATGGAGAGATTGCCATTCATCATGTCACTGTAAATAGAAAACAGTGAATCCAGCTGGTCTCTGGCAATGCTGACAGCTTAGTATTGGTGAAGTATGCATTGTCAAATTATAAACTGTTGCAGAGATTTACCTGGAACTTCAGAAGTCTTAACAGGTCACATCAACCAGGTTAGAGCATGCAGGTTTCTGAAGACAGCAGATTGTAATGGTGTGCTATGAAGTGCTGTCTGCTGTCTACAATCTAACAGCCCAAGTAAAAGACATACACAAGCTGATCTACCACAGTGTTTTGGTGCAAAGCTCCAGCTTGTGATTTGGGTTTCCCCTGCACAGTTATTCTAACCACTGTGCTGCTGCTTCTCCAGCAGCTGCAAGTCTTTCGTTGCTTTCCAAGAGGATGTACATCTGTTTTCCTCCAGGTGCATTCCATCGTGCCTCTTTCTTTCCCAGATATGCACTGCATTTTGAGTTGGAGTGACAGAATGATTTGGGGTTTTTTTCCAAATTGATAAGATGGAGCTGCCTCTTATTTGCTTGATGAGTCAGTACCGTGCTTGCAATGATAAAATAACCAACTGAAGTGGAACGCACCTGAGTTTGGCCTCACATGCACATTCATTTGATCACACCAATTATTTGTTTTGGTTTCAGTCTTTGAACCTTAATACAAGAATGTTACTTGAAAACTTTAAAGATTTATTGACAATCGTAGTGATTGTCACATAGTGACATGGGGCATACTTAATAAGGTATGATTCAGGAGTCCTAGCAGAAGTGGGCAGCTGTATTTCAAAAGTAGATCACGGAGTTTGGTTTTTTTACAGCTTCTGTCATTCCCAGGAGGATTGGGGTCCTAAATCCAAGGTAAAAGTACATTCTACTGTGTCTCTGCTACTACACAGGTAGCAAAATAGTATTTCTGGTCTGTCAGTCTCCTCCAATGATTATTCAGGACTCTTCTGTCAGTCCTCCTTTCACCATTCATATTAGGACAGTTTGCTCTGCTCTTGCCTCTCTGTGTAGCTCCTGCCTTTTAAGCTTGATCTTCAGGAACAGGGACTGTGACAGCAGATAAATCTAATCACATGCTCTTTGTTAGAGTGAGGTCTGGAGGGCATCGTCTTTGTCTTTTTATTTCTTGGTTTCTGCTGAAGGAAATATAGACATATGGACTTCAGGAGCGCAACATCAAACTCAGGTACAACCCTGCTCCGGATGGTCATAGAGGTGAAGAACTGTGGTTTGT